AAATAGCAAACACCCGCTCCGGAGTTTGCCACAAAGTGCTGATGCACAAACTCCAAGAAGCAACTCTTCAAGGCGCTTGTATTCTGATGGTGAGCAGGAATCAATCATGGAGCATTTTCTATTCCATTCTTGCACACGGTCGAGTCCAAGAGGTCGTGCAAGGTGCAGGGTTCCATTTGATTACAAACAGCTCCCGCTTCGGGACATTCAACCCTGGGTACGATTTCTTTGGAAATCAGGTCGAGAAGTCAACTCTGAGTGGACAAGACGCTGGAACAAAACCTGACTTTGGGGCTTCCAACTCACCCGGTGAACTCAGATTCCCGGCTGTGTCCGCGAAGAGATGCAAATGCCTCGCACCTGGCCAAAAACGTGAAGCTTGGGTTCTGAGAGTTGCTGATAGAACCGACTCCATGGGAACACACGGTGGTACTGTGGATGGAGAACATCCTGCACTGGTTGGTGGGTTTCTTTATCCCAATATTCATGGGGATCGTAGGGTTTCATCCATACTACCATATGCAGAATGTTTATTCCTCCACAGGGCGAATCAGATTGAAACACTCTTCTGATTGATGCTGAGCTGGCTGACTCAACGGAACATATCCAAGACTATTCGCAACGGTACAACCAAATCGCTGAAGCAAGTTGTGTCTTTCTGAGGCCCTCTGTGATATCGGTTGATCACGGGCGGTTGACCATACAAGCAACTCAATGGTTGGCCGACTACGCGTCTTAACAACATCTGCCCGTTGCGAGCCAAACCATGTGTCGAGTAGAGGGGCACCAAGGGACAAAGAGTCTGCACATCTGAAACAAATCCCTTTTTGATTTCCTGGGATGGGCCAATTGGGGTCTGCCTTTTGAGGCAATCAATTTAAGATATACTATTCTTGCAGGGGATGATGGAATGACCCCTATAAACCATCCCTTGTGGTTTCCTTTAAGGGAATCCCCAGGTTCATTCCCACATTCCCTACTTATCGCACCAGCAAGTCTTCGTGAAACGAACGGGAAACCAAGCAGTTTCCAGGTCCTCCAGTAGAGAGGTTAGAATAAGTTGGTATCCGATGTTTTTTTCCTATAGTCTATTTTAAAACAGGGGAACCCTCCCAACCAAACAAGAAACGGTGAGAAAGGGCACTACTGCGAGCTAGTCAACATGACTAACTTGTTGAACATGGCGGGACTATCCCATACCACACCCCCTCTCAGAACTTTCCGACGGGATCCCCGGGCACACGCGGGCACTACTGGGGGACCTAGGTTTGGTTTTCCAACACGACTGACTCTTCCGAAGCAAAAGACCGCCTCGCGGCACAGCCGGAGCTCTGGGTCGCCACGTTTCAGCTGGCCCTGAGTTGGGATTGGGATCGGAATTGGACCTTGCAGTGATCTTTGACATGCCTTCTTTGTTTCCCAGATAGCTGAAAGCCATACGGGTTCTAACTTCTAATAAAGAGGGGAATGTGATTTGCGAGATTGATGGGCTGGTGCTAGGGGGCGTGCGGTTTGGGGTGCTGGTGTAGGTACTGATTCGGGTGCTGATTGAGGTTCTGATGGCAGTGCGGGCGCATCTTTTATTGACGGTAGGGTGCTAGGGGGCATGCAGTTTGGGGTGCTTGTGCAGGTGCTGTTTTGGGGAGTGACGGGAGCTGTTTGAGGTGCTGGCGATGCAATATTGACGCTCGGGTGCTATCAGGTGACGGTGCAGGCGCATGTTTGCATCTTGACGGTAGGGTGCAAGGGGGCTTGCAGCTTAGGTGGTGGTTTGGGATTCTGTTTGGGGTGCTATTTTTATTTTCGCAAGATTGACGACTGGGTGTCTTGGGGGGTGCTGTTCAGGGTGATGGCGCGGCCGCATTTCTGCTCGATTGACGGCCGGGTTTTGCTTGGGGCCTTCTTCGGAGGGATGCTTTTGGAGGTGCTGGTGTGCAAGCACTGCTATCTGGGGTCTATGCTGGTGTTTTTTTTTGTGTGTTTTTTTTCTCTCTCTTTTTATTTTTTTTTGGGGGGGGGGGAAGGTTCTTTGACCCCCCTGAAGCTGGAGTTCTTCCCAAGTGGAATGCCCGCTACGGGCAAAGGGCCAATTTTTTGCGAGTTGGATTCATTGAACCAAATACCAGCCAGGGTTTCATCCCTTTTGCTCAGTTTGTCGTGAAGGGGCTTACCCGCTCGTTTCTGGCTGAACCGGTACAAAGGATGCTGCGGCAAGGGACGCGGGATCGAAAACAATTAGATCTTTGGGGTTGGACACTTTCGCACAGGACGCAAACAACAACAGCATTCCTCTGCCCAGAAGTGCATAAGAAATAACCTGCACAGGCTTCGCTTGTCTCGATTTTCCAAGTTTGAAGTTTCGCTAGCTATTCAACCTGAGGTAGGCCTTATAGACAAACAACACAATAATGGACAGGATTTGCGTCTTGGAGTTGTGTCCCGCGAAGGATTTTCTGATATCTTAAATTATCCTAACCATCTGCAACCTAGCTACAGCCTCCACGCCTTTTTCCCGGGCTTCCTTTTCCCAAATGCCCAATCACCACGACAACTCGATGGGTAGAACAGCATGCGTCAAGATTATGGCTGGAACCAACCCTTCCACCATCTTACACCTTCACTGAATTCTGGGCTGCTCTTTCACCCTTGCGAAACAGAATTCGAAAAGCCGTTTGCTCGTTCGCAGGCATGCAAACCAAATTTGCCACTCACAACGCACGTTTGGCTTTGCCCCAAAAGGGGCCCCGTCACAGACATCCTACCCACCAATCATCTGCTTCAAGACAGGATCCTCCAGGCCCTGGCTTATGGTGGGCAGAGGGCAGGTTTAGGAGTGCTTGCAGGTTCAATTTTTGATTGTGGCCAAGTGTAAGGACTAGGTAGGATTGCAATAGGTCCACAGTTGACAGATCGTTGAAGCCGCTTCGGCTCACACGCGCAAAATGACCCCCAGACCAACCGAACCCACAGACTCACTGACCAGGTACCGCATGGAGCCCTGCCGGTATGCCACATGTTTTCCATAGGCTTCCCATCAGGCAGGTTTCCCAGAAGATTGGTTCCCCTCAAGACATCCAGGCTTCCATTTGCTTAAGCCCGCTGGAGAAAAAAACAATATTTCCAGTAGTGAGCAACAGGTTGGGAAAACAAACTCAAACGCAAATGGAAGAATCATATTGTTTCCTTCAAGAATTCCAGGCTGTCATTTGCTATAGATTCCCCTTAATACCAAGCACATGGAAGCCGGTTCAGTTCAGCACGTGGAAGCCGGTTGCAGGATTCTAGTGGTACTTTCCCCATTCTTTTCAGGGATCCTTCTTTGCAGGAAACCATCAAACATTCAGAAAGAAAACAACAGTTTTTTGAAAAGAGCGATGGTTGAAAAGACCCGCCAAAAAAGGGTAAAAGGGCACTACTGGGGGACCTTGACATGGAAGCAGGTTGCGGGATTCTAGGGGTACCTTCCCCATTCTTTCCAGGGATCCTTCGTTTCAGGAAACCATCAATCACCCAGAAAAAAAACTGCCGGTTTGTGCAAATAACGATGGTTGAAAAGAATGGAAGAGGCATCAAACCCTAAAGAGACATCATTTGTTCAGCCCACGGACAAGAAAATCATAATACAACCATATTTTGGTTTTAGGGTTCAGTGGTGAAGCCACCCCTAGACTTTCCGAGCTGCGATGCGCCGCTGGACCAGACTCTCAATCCGCGACAGCTTCTCCTGTCGGACGCGGCTCTCTTCCGCGTCTCGTGGTCTCAAGCGTGTTCCAGCGCCATGTCCACATAGGGGTCGTCCACCAAAAAAAAGACAACAACCGGCGGCGTCCTTTGAGGTTCCAACTTCAATCCCAAAAGGGCTATGCTAAACGCAAGACAAACAGATTCAAAAGGGCCAACTAGCATACACCAGTGGTCAACCTCTGGCATTTGCTTGCTTCATCGACAATTGCTTAACTGCAACACGCCTAGCTGAAGTGCACCTGCTGGATGCAATCCTTCCGTTTCAGCGCGACTCACTTGCTTCTGGCCGCGAGTAATTGAGCCCGACCCAAGAATTCTCGCTGAAAGTCGCCGGATCAAAGTGCTGAACAGATTGGAGGTCAACTGCAAATGTACCCCGCCGCACATGTGTGTCTTGGCCAAGCCACACGGTTTCTATGGCATATGAAACATAAACTCATCGTAGCATGCAAACATGCAGGGCACAGGTCTCACATGGCGTGCATGACACGTACGGCATGGCACGCATGCATGGCATGCAAGAAACGCCATGATCTTTGATGGGTCATGTTCAAAATCGCTGAATGACGCAGGTCCAATCAGCTTACCCCCGTCCGGCCTTAGACTCTTCATAGGCAGACATCATGGCTGCCCACTGCATCTCTGGCTCATTGGTGTAATCGATGGCTGACCTCAGTCAGAATAGAACGCTCGCCTCAGCCTGTTTCCAAACCGGTCCCCTCAGTATTTGCAAGCACCCAAACAAATTCCGCGCAGTACGTAGGAACTCTGTGTCCCTTACTTGCTTCCTAGGCAGTGCTGCCAAATCATTCGCGCGCACATTGTCAACTTGTCAAAGCAAGCAATGCGACGCTGAGTTGTAAATAAGCAATTCTAGTGTGGTCACTGTCTTGGGAATGAAATGCCATGTTGTAGTAGCTGGCACACTACGATAAGCCAGTGCGTGGCCCCTCAGCTTTCATCTTGCACCTGTCTCTTTTATATCTGTGGAACGTCGAGCCCGCAATGAAAGTATCCAAAGCAAAGGCCCAGCCAAAAGGGGCCCTGTTTGCACGGCACCAAGGCACCAGAACGCCAAGCCTGCGATCCAAGCCATGGTGTTGAACCTGTATCTTGGGCCACTTCGCGCAATTGGAATGCAAAGAATCAAAGATCCTAGTTCTGAAGGTTGGCTTCTGGGAAGCTCGGTGTTTCCCACTTCAACCTCTCCCAAATGATCGTACCATCAGAGCGTGTAGGTGCTGCCTGAGGCGCGAACATGCCGGAAGAAAGGAGAGTTTCAGTCACGTCCAAGATGCCCGTTCCAAATCATCCCGGCAATCAAAAAGGAACACATGCAGCTGTCAGAATTTCAATCGGCTTAAATCTTCATTGGAGGAATCAGACGTGGCAACATCTATATAGGTCCATTGTATCGAACAGGACCTGAGAAAGACACGTGGCAACAATGTATGCTCCCTTATTTAGTTTAGATGCTCACCCACAATGATAATAATCAAGCTGTGACTTGTCACTTCCCAAGAACATTCGACTGGCATCTCCCCCAGCAAACATTCCCAATACAAAAAGGAATGCGACAAATATCATATCAAGCTCAGGCCAAACAAGAGGAAACAGAATCAAGTTGGTGCAGCCTGTCAGCTGCTGAAGTTTCCCCAGCTGCTTGCACATGACGCTAAGGTGTGAAATGAACTGACGCAACACTGCGAGTGTGCCGGGCGTGTGTGCACACATGTGGGTTTGTTTCTGTGTCTGTGTGACCTGTGTCTGTGTCTGTGTCTGTGCGTTTCTGTGCGTGTGTGTGTGTGTGTGTGTGTCGTGTGTCTGTGTGACGTCTGTGTGTACGTGTGTCTGTGTGTGTGAGTGTGTCTGTGTGTGTGTGTGTGTGTGCGTGCCTGTGTCTCGGTGTCTGTGTCTGTGTGACGTCTGTGTGACGTCTGTGTGTACGTGTGTCTGTGTGTGTGTGTGTGTCTTTGTGTGTCTCTGTCTACCCAGTTTGATTGGAACAGGGGGGGTCCCCGGAGACATCCTTCACTTGGGCCTCCCCGCTCCATGTTTCTGAATCTCCACTCATGTGCTTGAATGGGACAAACAGGGGCACACTTTAGCTGGGTAGTTAATTCTTTCCAACCCTTGGCGCCCTAGCAAAATAAATTTGCTCTTCGCAGCCCTCCACCAAAAGTGAACAGAACCAAAAAGAACAACACCAACACGCATGTCAAGAACAGTATTGATTTCACATGGACGCCTCTTCCAGAATGGGTCGAACAACGGGCATCACTGGACGGGCTTCCCTAAATCTCCGCTTAGGCATCATCCCTACGTCCAGTTCACTTGAAATGGGCCACTGTGATGTTTAAATCCCAAAAGGGAACACACTTTCGTGGATTGGTCAGAAACATACCACTCAACTTATCCAAGCTCCAAAAGCACGTCCAGGATCTCAGGCAAAGTATGGAAACCTCGAGAAATTTACAAGCATAGGGCAAAATTATGCTTACATCCACACACAAAGGGAGGAACATCGCGGGACTTCCCGGTTTGGTCGGCGCTTTTGTGCTGGGCGCCGGGGCATCCGTCGGAGCAGCGTCTCACTCTTGGCAAGTACTGCGCTGACGGCGCCTTCCAGATCTTCGCCTTCGCCTATGCGAGGGCCCAAAACAAGCCAGGAGTAAAATGGGTTAAAACGAAGGAAGCGGAAAGGAAACCGTAGCCATTTGTTGAGTCTATTTTGGGTTCCTGACGAAACCGGGCCCCCCTTTGCTGACGGGTTCTCAAGAAACACAAACCGGATCAACATACTTGAAGGGGTCCCTGCCACACATGCCTCTGCGTGATTGGTTATCAGCAAGAACTGGAGGTACGTGACCAACTTGGAACCCCACCAAGTGTTTACTTTCTGTTTCCTTGTCAAACGGGGCCCTGATTTAGATGGAAGACTGCAGCGTCAGGTACACGTTGTCGAAGCCTTTTAGACAGACTTAGCAAAGGACGTCTGGACCAAGTCATGCAATTGACTGACTGGGTCCTTCTGGGCGGGCACCCAAACAATCCGTTATATAACATCGAGGTTGGCCCATGCCCTCATGTGCTGCCCTTAGGAAACTCTGCTCGTCTGACACAGCTCGTTGTTTGCCATCTTGCAGCCTGTAAAGATATGTGCAAACTGGCGAGCATGCTGGCACTGCCGTGCGCAGTTCTCCCAATTGGATATCTCTGCGACTCTCTCCAGGCGCAGCATACTGTGGACGAAATCCATTTCGCACCCATGGGAAACCATGGGGAAACCAATTGTTTATTGGTATTTACGTTGGGGAATCGAATCATTCCAGGGTTTCTTAGGTGGTGCGAACGGATTTCGCAACCAACCACAGTATTGTATCTAACCAACCACGACATCCCGATGCCGCGCACCTTGCGAAGCTTCGCTCTCTGTCTCTGGTCCTGGAGAATTGCACAGGCCGCTTCCCATTCGGCAAATACTGACAGCCCGCGGATCAGCGCAAACACCTTGTTTCAAGAGCCAATCCCAGCAACGTGAAGGAGGAATGCATCCCAATGGTGTGTGCAGACTCGCAATCTTTTACATTCCCTGGTACTCGTTGGCTTCGTCGGAATATTTCAAGCGACAAGCATTCCGGTGCAAGAAGGGAGCTCTACTTAGTTTTCCATATTGCAAACAGCTAGGAAAGGTGCAGTGCGACGAAATCTGACGCTAGTTGAGCATGTACATGGCACTTCAGTCTGTGGGCGTCTTCCTCGAGATTCTTCATCACCGAAGGCTTTCGCGGCCTAAACTTTGGGCTCGACATCTAAGGCAACAGCCTGCACACGATCAGTCTTTCCTTGTGCGGCGATTGTTTTCTCCTTGTGCTCCTAGCAGTCAATCTTGTAGGTGCGGGACACAATGGCACTGTCGCCATGTTGTCCTTTGGTGTGTGATTGGTGTGTGATTGGTGTGTGATTTCTCTGCTGGATGTTGCGCGTGTGTGTGTGTGTGTGGCGTTGAGGTGGTTTCTCCTCTGCAAGGAGCATCGTCGGCTGGCAAAGCGAGCTCAGTACAATCCTGAAGCGGTCCAACACCCGACAGTTGGCTGTCATAGCGCGCTTACGGAGACTACATGTTTGTGCCGCAACCTCCTGTTCGTGAGACAAGCCTGACTTTTGCAAAAGCCAAGCAGTGTAAAGACGTGAGCCACGCCCTCGCTTCAGCACCACTATTTTCGATTAACACGGTGTTGGTTCGCAAGATTGGCTGGAGCTTCTCCTTTGCTCACTTTCCTGCGGTCCCCAAATCTGAGGTCTGAATTTTACTTAGGGATCTTTTCTAGGTCCTCCACTAGAGAGGTTAGAATCAGGGTAACCTTTTTTCTGTAGTCTATTTTAGTAGGGGAACCCTCCGTAAAAGAGCACTACTAGGGCACCTGGTAGGGATCCTTTGGTGGACATTTAGGCACGTCATGCCCACCAACTCCTGCCTGCTTCCAGCTCTTTGACGCGCGCCTGCTGCGGAGTTCGAAGGACACATTTGGCCCAAATAAGAGCAACCCGTCGGGGTGTTGAGGCCGAAGGAGGCCCTCAGCACTGTGCTGTCTAGGAAGTCTGAAGGATTTTGAACATTGGTAGGATTTATGTTGGACTTTGATTCCTTCTCAGGACACAACCATGCTATCCCATGCTCATGACTCTTGCGCAGCCGGCGCTGGGGATGGCCAGCGACCGTCCAAGTGATTCCACCAGCACCAAAGTTGGCTCCTTGTCAAGAAGTCTGCTGGCTGCTAAACACATCTTCCCTGCTCTTTGGCGACACTCACCGGTCAACCCTCGCGCTTCGCTTGCATGTCTCCATTTGTGGGGTGCGCCTGAAAAACTGTGCAGTTTCAACCAACAAAGAATCGAAACCGAACGCATGGCACGTACGGCTTCACGAGTGAAACGCAAAGAAGCTCCCTCTGCCTGGTCGAATTCCCCAGTTCCCAGTGGATTTGATTGAATCAACACAAAATCTTCGGAAATGCGAAGACCACAACTTCTAGTGACAGATTCCCCCCCCCAAAAAAAACACCAAACGGGGAACATGTCTTAAAGAAAAACACACACAACACACAAAAACGAAGAAGAAAAAACAGAAGAACAACAACACATGAACCGAGAATGGAAGACTTTTGATACTCTTGACCCGCGCCTCCAAGCTCTGGATCCTCAGGTCTTTTGCAAAGCTCGCCTCGGACCGGTGCCGATCGACCTCGGCGCATGGCGCAGCGGGGGACCCGCGATGGGCTGCCCGTTTGCAGATCCGCTCAGTGTGACCCTCTTTTGGGTTAAATACGGAAACTACCACTAAACACTAAGGCTAAAAAGCTAAGGAGCCGGATAGCTGGGAGCCACCCAGGAAAAGTGGGGGAAATTTGGGGAGCCATGAAACCACGAGCCTGCGCAAAGCGCTTGGCTTCTCCTGCTTGCCATTCCTGTGTTTTCTTGCCCATGTGCGACATGTTCCTTTCTTGGGTCCCAGACACCTCGACATTTGATGGGTCAACTCAAGGCTGGCCTCGAGTCTAACGACGTACAATTCACGTTGCAGCCCTTGGCACTTTGGGGTACTTTGCCCCATGGCTAAACCATGAGCAACCTATAATCATTCACCAGCCCAAAAGCAAGGGATCCCTACAAACAACACGGATGACGTCGCAGGACCAGGGTCGTCCCAATTTGCCCCGCAGGCAGGGGCACCAAAAAGTGACCCTTAGGCCCCCGAAGACTAAGCAACGCCAACCTAAAAGTCATGAACACCATGGACTTGCTTGTGACTTCGCTCCGAACCGAACTTCCGGCAAGCAATATCCACACAAATTGTGCTTCACAGCCAAAAGCACCATGTTCCAAAAGCACCGAAGTCCTTTCCTCCCAAAGCCTGCAATCGTATGCAACCGATGATTTGATGGGTGCCGTTCATCGCAACCAGCCAGCTAATCCTCAAACCATACCGACTATGAGCGCCCAGAACCCATTGACTCTTGGCTAGGTTTGTATAGGCCTTGCTGCCGGGTCTCATTCATGCAAGGGACCTTCCCTGTCATGGAAGATGCCGGAAGGATTTTGGAGTTTTGGAGACTCGGCTTTTGGGGAAGCCCCAAAACGTCCAATTCCATGGGTAGGATCCCACCCATCAATTTGACCAATTGTCTCAAAGCAACACCCCCCCCCAAAAAAAAGAAAAGCTTCACTCGACGAGGACGTGTGCCGAGCAGCGCCCGCCAAGCCAGGGGATGGTGTCCTTGTGGAGGCCGAGGAAGAAACCGACCCGGAGGCCTGCAGGGAAAGCGCCAGGGTTGCAGTCTCAATATGTCTATCATAATATGTGTGTATGCAAATATGTATGTATGTATATATATATATATAAATATATAAATATGTACATACGCATGTATATGTATATATGCACATACACGTATATATATATATATACATACACGTACATCTATGTATATGTATATATATATATATACAGACATGCACGTATACGCACATAGCTGCGTGTTTCTCAATCGTCCCGCGGCCGGTGCGTCTTCCTACACAGGTAATATGTTCCTAGGAGGGCACCTTCTATGTGTTGTAATATCTGCATTTTACATACACATCTAGAACTGCATTAATACCGAGTTAAGCACGTGATGCCTTGACTCAACAGTCAGAGCCAAGCATGCCAATAGAATCATGACCAGGCTTGACAAATAGCCTTACACAATTCTTCGAACTAGGTGTGTGTTCCTTTGAGGGTACCCCTTTTTGGTGGATTTAAAGGGAACGCAGCAGGAAAACTACGACAATTGTCGGGGTCCCTAAAAAAGACACAGTGTCACTCCCGACTTGAGACACCAAAAATTGGACCAACAGATCGCGTGCGTCTCGTGTCTCGTGCCTCCCGGCCGCGGTAGGAGCCGAAGGAGGGCCTTCTGCTCCTGTGCGGGAGGGCGCCCACCGGGTCACTCACAGTCGTCCAAGGAAAAATATCGAGGGAGAGCGCTCATTCTGTCGCTGTAACTGACAACGCCGTTTCGAATCCAAATCCAAAAACAACACGGGCGAAGCCTGGACCCAGGATCTGGGGCGGTTGTGTCAGCCTAGTTTTCCGTATGAGAAAACTGGCATTCCCCGTGGTGCTTGCAATTGGCTAGCCTTCCCATATCCTTCACAAGTTGACAGTAGACCCACATCAATGAGACGCGATGCTGATAGAGACTGCCCGTGCTCGCTCTGGTTTGATTTGTTCCCAAGGTGAAAGGCTTCCAGAATTGCATGGCAGCGTTACCTTGCACGGCAACCATGATATTGAACGTTGACAACATACCTGAGCATTCAACTGCTTGGCTCAACAATGAAGGCCTCCGTTGGCTGCAAATTACGTTGACACGACTTACACGTTAGGAGGCAACCGAGTCGTTCTTCTTGAAGAGAGCATCCAAATGGAGCTACCCAGCTAAGCCTGCACGCCTTCTATCAATCCAAGGAGTTGCAACTACACTAGCCACTAGTCCCACTGCTACTGACATAGCTCCCGCTCCTTGTGTTGAAGCAGCTATCGGCCGCCCATGCAGGCACCTCACCCAGTGGCTCCGGCACAACCTCAGCCACGCGCGGAATCTACGGTCCGACGGAGCTTTTGGACCTGGTGTCCTTTACACTGCCGGGCCCTCCGACTCCTGCTCCAGCCAGAAAATCCAACACCCTGACTGAACAAAACCCGAGAGGTGGCGCTGAGTCCTTTGCCTCTTTACGGATGAAGCTGCTTCGGGGTCCGCACCCTGCTCCGTAGAAATTTGCATGTCTGCCATGGTGAAAGCTCGGGCTCCAGGGAGGGATAATCATGGCTTGTGTGTGTGTAGGTGTGTCCGTGTGTGCATGATGCGTTGGCGTTCAGACTTGAAAGTTCACGACCAGTCTGCAGCACCCTCCAAGGGCACAATCATGCATCAAAGTAGAAACCAGACGTAGCTTTCGCGGCAGGCGCAGTACTTTGTAAGCCTGCCGGTTGTAAGGGTGACGATGCACACAGGTTGGAGTCAGATCGAAGCTCGCATTGCGTTTGCACGTCGCACTGAAAGAGGTGAACTTTCCGCGCACGCCATAGACAAAACCATCGTGTTTGATTGGTTTGCAACCAACACCTGTAACAAACATCTGGGGAATGTGTGAGTGCGGAGCACTGTGTGAGCCTGCGGGTCGTGAGTGGGGTGTGAAGATGGCTAGTGTCACTATTTTGCTGTATCATTCTTTGACCATGTCAATGCTTGACCGTCGTGGCGATTTCGTTACTGGGCTGCGTTCATACTCTGCTCGCATTACCTAGCTATGTCATTTCTCTCGTTGTTTGCTGGATGTTTGGCTCCGTCGGGCACAGCAACATTCTTGAGTCTCCACGTATGACTGTTCCAATACAATGCCGAATATCATGACTACAAGGTACATTAATATTCTGTGCAAGTGGCCACCAACAATATTTCCGATGTAGAGATTCATCTCGTCATCTAGAAATGGGCTTTGGAAGCGAAAGAAGATGCTCTGTCACTGATGACTGCGTTGTCCAAGTACAAAGAACAACAGACATTTGCTCCAACAAGCTGTTCGTTGTGCAAAAAGGCGTGTTCAAGATGAGTCTTTGGAAAGAGTTGACTTGTGTCGACAGTGCTGCTGGACGGAAAAGGCCACATGGGATTGGAAGAAGTGCGCGCATGTTGTCCCGAACAGCACAGAAACAAAACACGAGAACCTCCTCGACGCCCAGCGGAACATTTCAGGTCACATCAAAATGACTTTCTCGTAGGGACCTTCTATCGCAACTTCCAAACCCCAGCTGGCCCTGGCTCTCTCTTGCTTTTTCTATGTACATATGTATATATATATATATTTATGTATGAGGTATTGTATTTCTATGTTGGCTGTGTCGCAACCGGGAGACCCCGAAACTGGAGAGGCCCTTTTGGTTTCCCTTTAAACCACCATACAAAGGGGTACCAACTATGAAAACTGGTTGGCTTCCTTTGAGCTTCCTTTGAGTTTCCTTACCATCCAAAAAGGAGCTCTGCCTACTTCGATGCCAACCGCATTTGTTCTGCCCCCTCTCGGCGCCGGTCCATTCTGCTGCGGCAGCGGGCGGTGTTGCCCGCCTCCACGAAAACCCGCGCGCGCGCCATGTCTCGAGCAGGTGAGTCAATTGATCAAAAGCCATCGGTCGGCTGGACCCCCAGAGCTTTTCTTTCGCTCGCCTTGAGAAACCCTCCGCTCATGCAATGGGAGCAAGCTCAACCAAGAGGTCGCGCTGCATAGTGATCGATCTCCAGAATCAGGCAAACAAAATGAACCGGAGATTCGCACAACTTTCTGGCCATGGCCGGACTTGTCCCAATGCTTAGGGCTTACGTTGTGCGAGTCACACCGCGCTACTCCACACACACAAACGCCGCCTCAAAAGCGATCGGTAAAGGGGTGAATCCGCGGAACCATGCAATGACTTAATTGAACAGGCGGATATCCGCACTCACTGGCTGGGATTGCCCCTTCTCCAATTTCCGGAGTTTTGGTTGTGTCTCAAACCAAATGGGTTGGTCCCAAACTGGGGGGAACCCCCAAAAATGGCAACGGTGTCCTTTTGGCTTCCCTTTAAACCAACCCAAAACAGCTACCCTCACAAGAACGGGCACCCAACTATCCTCTGCAAAGAACCCAAGGGGTGTCAACCTAAGGATATCTCCAGGGTTCCCATTTTTCACCACGCCGCGACAGTCCGTTGCCAGCCCTTTGGACACAAGCACAGGCGCACTGAGCTAGGTAAGGTGAAGATGGGAAGCCATGTGTAGGAACAAGCATAAGCTAGCATATGGCATGGATCTGCGCATGCAATTTTACATGTTCATGTGTGTGTGTGTGCGCTGTTTGTGCGCAGAAGCCACTGGGCATTGAACAACATCCTATCGACTGTCATGCAGGTATCTTTGCAAATGTTCATTCCTATTCCCCTCAAAACATCAATCACGTCATTTGACCGCCGGTGCCCGACTGCTGCCATAATCCTTGGCCTGCGGGCCATTTCATGTACGCACTTCCCGTGCATTGGCCAAACAAGTCGCAACTTGTTGTTCGTCAATAAAATGCTCCAGCCCCAAAAAGTGACTAAGTCCTAAACGGAACTCAGGACGTGAGTCTTAATTTCGATTGGTCGGCTTCATGTTTGCGACAAGACATCTCGAGCCGCGCCCATGTAGGCCCCACCTGAAAGGCATCTGCCGCGAACCTGCGCAATGGGAGTAAGGAACATTCACCCATTTGCATCTATTGCCTGTCAGGGAGTGTTTGGGCAATGCACCCCTTCCGATTCTTATTTGACCCCACCAAATTGACAAAATGACGCGAGTCAACAAGAAAAGGAGCCTTTAACAGAGGAGGCCAATGCATAGTTTGCATGCTCTAGAACCAGTTTGGGCTGCTCGAGTGAGCGACCGATAGGGCGAATTGGCCAGACTCGTCCGAATCTTAAATCCCCAACCTTGGTAGATATCTGCTATCCATGGTGCAGTTTTGACGGATTCACCTTCGATACACCGCGCGAAGTCGAGGTGTAGCATCTTGCAACAGGGTGAAGGACACCATTTGACTGGGGTTTTCCTTCTGGCTTCCCTTGAAACCAACATGAAAAGGATACCCTTAAACTAAGAAATGGTTCCATGTTTTTGACTCCAAGATCCAGTCCAATGGGATACCGAACCCCTCAAAAGTCCACTCCGGCTCACTCGCTTGGGGCTCCGGACGGACATGGGACCAGCTCTGAGCTGCAGTTCAGCTCAGGCCGACTGCAGCGCGCCGACCGATGCGAAAAGGGGATGAGATGGCTCCGTGTCTGGATTCCCCATGCGGACGGGACAATTCTTTTCCGGGATACCAAGGTGGGCTGCCCTCAGATCCCCTGCTAAAAGTTTAACTTTCAATGGGTTAATGGACACCACCAACTAAACACTAAAAGGCTAAAAAGCTACGGGGATGGCTGGGAGCCACCAAGTTTCCGGGATACCAAGGTGGTTGATTCCCCAAAGCGTCAGTTTTCAAAGGGCGGTCCAATACTCATTTGCCCAAAGGCCCCAGAAACAACAGGTTAACCTTCTTGGGGCCGTGACTAAACATGGACCAAGAGGGGAACACCCCAAGGTCCAAAGGTCGGCTTTGGGTACAGAAACTCTGAGAAACTGCAAGCCAAGCAAGTAACAGACACCTGAGATCATGTGGTCCAAACATGAGCAGACTTGGGTCAGTGCCAAAGGCGCCGTTGTGGAACCACGTTGTCCATTCTTGTTGAGACAGTGTGTGTCTCCGTGCCTTTGTGTCTCTGTGCTTCTGTCAGAAGTTCTGTGTGGCGCGCTCGCACCTGGGGCTGGTCTCATGACATCAAATTGCAAGGCAGCAAACTCAGGGAATCCCTTACGGGTTTGGCTTGGGTTGCTTTTGGGGGGGGGGGGGGAGGGGGGAAGAATCTGAAGGCTCATGGCATGGAGTGACAGTCGCACCATCGCTGTGACTTCTTGCCAATGGCGCCATTTTCCAAGCGAGGATCACAACACCGCGATTTCGGAGGGATCCTGAATCCATTTCTCAAAAGCTCAACTCCAATCCACGAAAGAGCCCCTGGAAGATTATGGGGACCCAGCATTGAACTTGCAACACCTGATTCACCCGGCACTCGGGACGGAGCCTGGTCAAACTATGAACGCTGGGAAGCTGAGTCTCGTTCCCTGGTTGTCCCTCCTAGATTTTTTACTACTGGGTATGATTGTGGCACATATCTCCGCCGGAAAAGCCATACACAGGAACATATATGCAACACCCTCGGGGAACCCTCCTCAAACCCTGTCGCATCCATGAGGCAAGTTCTTCAGCTTGGCCTCGCAATAAGACGAAGGATCCCACTGTCTGTGTTTAGAATCTGAAATAAGCTGGCCCTCTAACTCAAAATGCCGCAGTTGCAGTACTTGCTTGATCCCATCCAAGAACAAGCACACACTTATCATCACCAGCAGCAGCAGCAGCAGCAGCAGCAGCAGCAGTAGCACCACCACCATCACCATCATCCATCATCATCATGCCGAAAGCGATAAAGGTCCAAAGGATCATCACCAGCCATGTTTCCCTTACTCCCCATGTCTTCCAGTTCACCAACCCATCTGGCGGGAGGATTAAGGATTGAACAACCCTGACACCTTAGCATAGGTGACCTTTTGGACAAAACGGATTGGTAAATGGAGCATGAAACCAATTTTAACCAGTGGGACCCATCTATTTCCAACCAAACTAAGCCGTCACAAGGACACCTATGCTGATGAGACTCTGCATTTCATGGTTTCCATGCTACCTGAGTCCGCTTTAGGTCACACCGGATCCGAACCCCGGCCTGAAGAGGTTCACCGGGCAGGAGCTGACCCCACTCGCCTGAAGCCGCGAAGCCGCAAACGGCTTGGGGTTGTAGGCACTATTCAACCAAACTACCACCTCCTCCTCCTCCTCCTCCTCCTGCTTCTCCTCCTCGTTCTCATCATCATCATCACCACCATCATCATAATCATCATCACCATCATTATCGGACAACATTGCAGAATTATCCCCCTAGATTATCCATCCGAACATTACCCAAGCGGCTCCATTTGGTCTGCTGGGAAAGGCAATTTGTTTCAGTGGCCAAAGCGTCAGTTTCAGCGCATGCTTGGCCACTGGCGCACATCTGGATACATTGTCATTCATGCGAATCAATGTCTCACACCAAAGCGATGAGCACCGAAAAGCACACACACACACACACACGGCTGTCGCTAAGGATCGTCAACCATGCAGACGTTTAGAGCGATGCAATGAACTTCTGTAAGCCTCATGTCGCGCGTTAGAACTGGCTGTCGGTTGGCTGGCAAAGGATCTGTTTCTACAAGCGAGTGGGCATGGCTTTCCCATGGTCTCGCCTTCCGATGCAAAAACAGGGTGAGGAGTGTGGTCACACATGTGCAGGACAGGCACCCAGTCTAAAACATGGTGACACGGATCTTCGGACCCTGCATTGACCGTTTGGGGGGGGGGGTTGGGGGGTCCGGGGGGGGGGGGGGGGGGCGAGGCCCAAACCAGGGTACCTTATTGCGGAGGAACAGGTACCTTGTGGTAATGGTTTATTGTAGGTCCCTGGATCTTTCCACACGATGATCACTCTGTCAATGGTAAATGGAGTGTATCTGGAAGTCCCTGGTAGGATTGAGCCAAACGGTTGCATGGAGATCAACATGTAAATCAAACACAGGGAGGGGTGATGGTTTTGTGTTACCCGAAGGCAAACAGAGTCCTGTCCCAGGTCAGCCCTGCGAGGGTTGGGGTGTGTGTGTGATTGTTTTCTTTGTTATGCTGCATGATCGCTCGCGGATGCAAGGAGGAGTACAATAATGGGGCGCACATTTTTCGCGGCAAACGCTGCTCAGGCACGAACGGCAATGCGTGGTATCCATAGTACCCCCCCCCCCCCCGCCCGACGTCTGATATGTAGGCGGCCCCCCCCCCCCCCAAGGACCGCGCGGCAATTTGGTGACGTTCCACGAAACGTAGTCTTCGGGGAGCCGGTGTCGCAAAACAGGGGTCCCAGGCTCGATTCCCCCTGCCGGCTCTTTGCTGGTTTGGGGTTCCTGCCTCCTTTTGCCGAAAATCTGGAAAAACTCTGTGTGTTTGGACGTCCTAATTGCGAAAACGCTGGAAAAGCCGTGTGTTTTTGCGGGAAATATTGGGGAGCAAAGGGGAAATGCAAGGAAGTGCAAGGAAATGAGGGGAGGAAATAGGAAGTTGACATGACAGGAAATCAGCGGGACATGACAGGGAAACAAAGGGGAACTGAAAGGGACATGCAATGGACAGCAATGAAAACAAGGGGAGTGCAGGGGGAATGAAAGGGAAACAAAGCACAAGGAAACCAATCGGCACGACGGGAGATGTAGGGATATGACTCGCAACGAAAGAACGGGACATACATGGAAAATGAAGCGGACATACCGAGAAAATGTCAGGGACATGAAGGGGGAGTTGAAAGGCATGGAAGGGACAGGACCAGGACATCATGGGAAACGTGAAAAGGACATGAAGGGGAAATCAAGGGGAAAGCCAGTAGTGAGATGACAGTTCAGGGTCATGCAGGGGCAGTGCCCGGACATCGAGGCAACTCAGGGGGGACTGACGCTGCAATGCAGAGAGAGAGAGAGAGAGAGAGACAGGGAGAGAGCGGGAGAGAGAGAGGGAGCGAGACACAGAGAGTGAGAAAGAGACAGAGAGAGAGAGAGACTGAGAAAGAGAGGCACAGAAAGACAGAGAGAGAGAGAGAGACAGAGAGAAAGAGCGAGAAAGTGAGAGAGTAGAGAGGTACCCTTTTTCTGTAGAGGGGCGTGGACAGGAAGGAGACAGGGAGACAGAAAGAGACAGAGAAACAGAGACAGCGAGAGAGAGAGAGAGAGAGAGACAGAGAGAGGGAGATTGAGGAGAGAGAGGCTTGGGGGGATGGGGAGGATGGGGAGCAGAGGGAGGGAGAGAGGACGACAGAACACACGAGAAAGACAAGGGAGAGAGGAAGAAGGAGAAAAGGGAGAGGACAATGTCGGCGGACTGAGCCGGAGGCTCTAAAGTTTCTCAGGGATCGCGAACAATTGACAGAGGGTCTTCGTATCCGTGCTACCTAAAACATGGCCCCCTGCAACATGCCTTGTACACTTTGCCAATGACGCAAGGCACGAAATAGGTAACGCACAGTTCCAACTTGGACTATTAAACCCAAAGTGATGTTCGAAAGCTTGCTGAAGTCAACCCAAAGAAGTTTTGCGCTCGACAAGTGTCAGCTTTACATCTGTGGCGTGCAAGCCATCCCGCCTCATTGGGAGGCACCGTGCTCCTGGCGGCCCAGCTGATGGGCTGACCATTCTTTTTCTGGAGGTTGAGTTGGTCTCATGAGATGATAAACGGCGCCGTAGCCAACTACCCCCCCCCCAAGTTGATTTGACCAGGGCATTCAATAAGACCCCAGCCTTGCCAAGACCCTTCCCATCCTTCAAGTGGCACGACCCATCCTCCTTTTGATCAGGAGCTTTCTCCGCGCCCGCTTGCCATGAGTCCCAGAGATGCGTACCACTAGAAGGGGTCTTGAGCTGATGTACCCAGCTTTCCCCTGCCCAGGTCCTTAGAAAATCCAAGGTCCAGCTTCAGCCTCTCAGAGCTGAGGTGCATACGAACTTCTGCCCAAGGAGCATTCTAGGCCGTCTTCCAGCCCCAAACGCATGTGTCTGTCTATGAATAAAAATATTGTCTTGGGATGCATCAAACTGGAAAGTACTAAAGCAAGAGGATTTCTCAGGATGCCGAACGCACCAGGAAGAAGTCAGCCAACTACGCAGATGTGCAGCTTAAAGAGACGGCTGAAGAGATATTCTATATGTTTATCTCTGTGTGTGTGTGCACGCGCATGTGGCTATACACCGCATGTACATGGATAGACATATGTGTATGTAGTAGACATATGTCCATCAAAGCAAATGTTCTCACGTGCCCACTGCCACAAGTTGTGGTAAACCAATGCGGTTGGACCAAACGACTTCTGGAAACAAATAAGCCAGGAACCCGTCACTGAACCATTCGGGTGCAAGGTCAACGAGAATTCGAAGGAGCTCACTTCACAACTCACAGCCAAACCAAACTGATTCACAGTGGGCAAGCAAACCTGACAAGACCATGTCATGAGTCGTCTGCTCAATTGGCTAGCACATCCACAAAGCCTAAGAGCGCACGCTGTGACATAGGGATCACTGTCAGCCATGCAAACGAGGCCCTGGTGCAAATCCTCTCTGAGGTTGCCATGCTCGTGAATCCCACGCAACCCTCGACCCGAGACCGATGACTCATGAGGACTCTTGTGAGCGCATGCAGCTTCCGCTCACCTCCGGATAGAGTATGAGTGCGGCAGCGAAAGAAAAGCAACTAGGTTCTCCAGTAGAGAGGTTAGAATAAGGGTATTTGTTCTGTAGTCTATTTTAGTAGGGGAACCCTCCCCCAAGAAAGTTGGTCAAAGGGCACTACTGGGGGACCTAGGCAAATGCATAGGTCTGAGGGGTTGGGCGCATGCCAAATGTGCCTCCATTTCATGAAGCTCAAACGGCTCGAAGATAAACTGGAGTTCGAAAGACCAATCCTCATCTTGACCCATGGTAAAATCCATAAACAACAGTTTGGGTTGCCCTTCGGTCGCCCCCTTGGGGCCCCCCTTGGGCATACCCCATAGACGACGCACTCCGCACCAGATCCAGCCAAACCTCCCATACCCTCCCTCTCGGCGTCCTCTTTGGACAGCTCCGCATCTGTCCGAGCGGATCGATGGCGCAAAGAGTTTGTGCAACACCCTTCGTTTTGTGCGAGCCAATTTTCATGGGGGCTGGGAGAGAGGGAGGGGAGGGGGAGGGAGGCCAAATAAGCCGTATTAAGCCAGCCCCCATGAAATTTGAAGAAGTCGTCCTTCCCTCCCTTCGGGTCATGCGAGACAGAATCAAAACCTGGTACAAAAGTGGGTGAACCCAGAACCACGTAACAAAATGAAAAGGCGGCCGCAACCATTTATGGCTGGGATTGTCCCATACTTCCCTCCAATCACCAGGGTTTTGATTGTGACTCATGTGCGAATCTGAGGAACCAAGAAATGCGAGACCTAGGGAATCCAGCTACGGAGGCGGAGACGTTGACATGCGACAGTGATCTGACAAGTGCCTCAACGTGCGCGGCCGCATTTCCAAGTTGGCTTCCTTCTGCCCAACCCTTCACCCACATGCCTTTTGGTTTGGTTCCAAACATACGTTGCGGGTTGGAACACGGCCCACTGCCACTCGAACCACGCTCGGCTCAGCTCTGTTGCCAGCCAACCAGCGTGATGCGATGTCATGCAACGAACTACTCAAATGGTCAACGGTCATCCTGACTATCATATAGGGCCGACATAGGTAGTAATAGTTTACCCGTGTAAGCACGGATAAATTGGGCTCGAGTTCCCACCCTTGCTTTGTCCAAACACGGCAAAAGGTGTTGGGTTCCCAAACCAGTGCTTGGGCAATCATGAATTTAGAACCATCACGCGATAAGCTTGCTTGGGACTTGCATTTGTCGAGCTAATTCGTAAATTGTTCGAGTATAAGTTCCTTCTTTGATACAGCACCCGGCCTTGAGGTCTGGATCCCACCAAAGGCCTGGAGGCGAGTGGCCCAAAGGAAGTTGTTTGTTCTTAGTTTGAGGTTGGAATTCTGTTGGTAAACCCCAAGGAAAGTGTACAGCTTTCCTTTAAAAAAGAACGTTGGGAATTCTTTGTGTTGATGCATGCTCGAGTTGCCGACCTTGGACCTTTTGATCCCGTGCTGTAACTTCCAAATCTTGAGGCAAACAGTTCCGTCCATAAACGGAGGGAGCTTCACTTCAAAGACACGACGCTCCGTTACTGAACATGTGAAACATGACCTTGCTCAAGAACCAACTGCTGTCCACGCATTCCTGCCACTGGTCAAGACAAAACCCAGACCAAAAAGCATTGTACAAACTCGGCACCCCTTTCCAACATTCCAAGCGTAGAGCCACTGTTCCATTTCAGTGCCATTAACTTGGGCGCCCAGAAAAAGAAACGCGTCACTTGCGGCAATGCGCACTAATTTTGATACGCTCAACATCCAGTACATCTACATTGGATGTCTTCTGCTCGTTGGAGGCAAAGTTGGGAGTATGCATGTATGTGTGCCAATTTGCAAGTGTATATGCATGTACATTTCGAGTACTATGTGCTTGTATGTACATATATATATATATATACATATTATGAATGTGTATGTATACATATATATATATATATGTATATATTTGTTATTTGTTGATATGCTGTACATATGCGTATGGAACTATCACAACCGCCGCGCCGACCAACACCAACACCAACATCGCCTCCTCAACCAACACCACCACCGACGCCGCTGCGGCGGGGCAACACAAATGTACTGGGCGAACAAGCGTTTAAAAGGTTCGTGCTCATTTCCAGCATATCCAGTTGGCGAAGGCAAGCATTGCGCAAGCGTCCAAGAATCCTACTGGAACCTGTTCATCTCGTGGTGACATTCATGAAACAGCGTCTAGTCTGTTGCGTTCAACCTCAGAAACTTGAGCTCAAAGCAACACTACGTGTGGCCAAAGATCACCCGAAGGCCATCCCGAGATGCGTCTGAAGCTGGGGTCATCTGAAGGCAACGGAACATCTGAGTCACGTTTTTCAAACCCCGCAGCTATTTATGGCAACTGCCCCTTACTAAGCTTCATCTACCCCGGTTTTGAGCATGTGATGCTCATCTGACCAATTGGATTTCATGTCCAGCCGCGCTTCACCCCGACATCAAGGGATGCGCGTTTTGGCCACCCTCGTCGCCGATTGAGAAAAAACAGATCGGATACCTCCACGGCTCGAAGGGGCAAATTGAGCCGCGCCTGGCCCGGGCTTGCTGATCTGCATGGCACCTCACTTCCAGGTCTCTCAGCCTTTCAATGCCCAAAGAGCCAGTCTCCGAGACTTTTGGACCAAAACCTCCATGCCAATCTATACCCATGCGCGAATGAACTGAGAGTCCGGCCAATCTATACCCCGCAGATCACACTCGCCGGATCGCGTACATGGGCTTGGGCCACTTGATA